AATAAGGCAGAGAAGGACATGGCTTAGGAATGAGCCATGGCAAGGATATATCATCAATGCTATCATGTATGGGGAAATTTTATTAAAACATATGCCGTAATAAATGGAAGGTGAGTCCATGTGGAGAAAAATATTTTCAGATAAGCCTCTACTTAGAAGTTTGCAATTTCAAGTGACTCAGATATCTGAACAGCTGATGGTACTAGTCTCCAGCAACTGCTATTAATGCAAGAAGCAAATCTAGCCAGTTGCTACCCACGTGCTCCATGTGTGCACACACGTGCACACACATCTCACTCCCACCCCTCTCCAAAGCCCCAGTTCCACTTACCAGCTCAGGAGCCCTCTGTAACCAAAGCCCATCTCCCATCCACACAGGAGCTCAGCTAATTGTAAAAACACAGGATGTTGGCCAGCCAGCGAGGTCAACTGTGATCCCGTTTACTCAGTACCTCCAAATACAATAGAGCCAAACCCCCAGAGGCAGACTGGCAGGAAGCTGTCTTTCCCAGCAATTTCATTCCCAAAACAGTTCCAGGAGTTCTAACCTCTTTGTCCCTTGAGACCTAACGGTTGTGGACATTTCTAAGTGCCTGCACTTTCCACTTGGTGCCCTGGGGACTGTGCTTAAAATCTACGACCCGCCTGCAGCTCTCCAGCCCCTCTGCTCTGCGGGTTCCTACTGTCAGTGATTCTTCTCCTCCATTGTCTACTTTGTCACTGTCCTCCCGACTTGAACCTGCGATGTGCCCACGGGGCTGTTTGAACACCTCGAAATCACCCACCGCCCCCCATCTCTGCAAACCCCTTCCTCTGCTTATGTCTGGTTCTGTCATGGAAGGGTCACTCTCCTGGCCCCCCAATTTTTTATCTGCTCCGTGCAATTCAGTCAGCATATAGTGATGCCCCTCCGAGCCGGGTGCTTGGTGCTGGGAATGAAGTGATGAATAAATAGGTCTCCATGCCCTTAGGAATTTACATTCTAGTAAGGAAGAAAACCCCATAAGCAGATCATTTCAAAACAATGTGGTAACGATCTACAAAGATGCACCCAGGTTAAATGAGAACAAAACCCATCCTGGTACTTCAGGAAGACTCTGAGAAGGAATTTATGTCTTTCAACATGAGTAAGAGCTGGTTAGCCCGATAAAGAAGAAGAGGTAGAAAGTCCAGGTAGAGAGCCTGGGCAAGATGGTAGATACGGGGAAAAGACAAGCAGTTGAGTGATGCTGCTGTTTCCGATGTGAAGCAGAGTGGGCATCAATAAAGGAAGGGTCGATGGGAATAATAGCATGGAAGGTTTTGCAGCACCATGTTAAGAAGCCTGGATTTAACTCTGTAGTGCATGGTTTCTCAAGCTTTTTACATCACAGGCTCGGCTGAAATTAATGAATCCCATGACCCCATTCTACCAAAAAAAGTCAACGTGCACACACGTACACATATAGCTTTACAGATACATACAAGTTTGCCCACAATTTTAGCCTCCCAACCCACACCCCCAGAAGTCAATCCACATTTAAAGCCCTGTAGATGGAGGTAGGGTAAGCTGGGGTTATGGGGGGCGGGGAATCTCTTGCACTACTTTCAGCAGAGAATTACATGATCACATATTAATGTATGTTTACATACATTACAATGAGGTATCATGACCCGCAAGTCTGGAGGCAAGGAGTATAGTATAAAGATGTTCTGTGTTCTAGCAAGAAATAACAAGGCTGTGAGCTCGGGCTCTGGTGATAAGGCTTGAGAAGAAGCTAGAAAAGCAGGAGGTCTTGGTGAGTAATTGAAGGTGAGTCATGAGGAAGAGGAGTCAGAGGGGCCTTCAGATTTCCAGCTTGAGAAACTGAATGAACAAAATGAAATAGAAGGCTAGTAGTGGAGAGGAGGAAAGGTAATGAGTTCATTTTTGGATATTTTGAATTTGAAATGTCTTTGAAACAGCTGGGGAAGAACTAGGCAATTGAGTATGCTAGCCTGAAGTCCCGAGGAGAGGTCCAGGAGGGGTCATATGAGAATCTACCAACTTGATCTTCATTGCATTAAAATAGGATATAAATACCAATTTCTAAAAATTCAGAAGAATGTTTTAATTTTACCTTTTTCTTTTACCTTAACATAATTTCCCCTAGAACAAAATTTTATTTTATTTTATTTTATTTTATTTTTTGAGAGAGAGGGTAGGGGGAGGGACAGGGACAGAGGGAGAGAGAGAATCTCAAGCAGACTCCATGCTAAGCGTGGAGCCCAATGAGGGCTTGATCTCACAACTCTGAGATCAGGACCTGAGCTGAAATCAAGAGCCTGACACTTGGGGCACCTGGGTGGCTCAGTCGTTAAGCATCTGACTTTGGCTCAGGTCATGGTTCCAGGGTCCGGGGATTGAGCCCCGCATTGGGCTCCCTGCTCAGCGGGAAGCCTGCTTCTCCCTCTCCCACTCCCCCTGCTTGTGTTCCCTCTCTCACTGTGTCTCTCTCTGTCAAATACATAAAATCTTTAAAAAAAAAAAAAAAAAAAGAGCCTGACGCTTAACCAACTGAGCCACCCAGGCATCCTTAGAACAAAATTTTAAAGAAATAACAAAGGATCCTGCATTTACTATCACAGTTTCCCCTATTGGAGTCGAAGGAGTCACAGGACCACCATGATATCATCAAGATATCATCATTTAAAAAAAAAAGCTAGCTAAAAACCCCAATTGGTGCATTCTCTTCTCACTGAAGTGCCCTGTCCTCACTTTCACTTTACATTCACAGTCCTACATAAATCCAAGTTAAAATCTGATGGATATAAAGGGCAGCCGAAAAAATTCAATTTTAGATCCTAGTTGATGTTTTAATAGGAAAAATTCCTTTATATTCAGTTTTATGCAATATAGAATAAAATCATTTTATTGTGCCAAAATGTTAGTAAAGTTAATATATTGTTGGGAATTTGTAAGCTATCATACCTGGCCATGAAATTGAACATGGAGCCATCTAAATGATTTCCCCCACAATCCATTCTCCACAAAGCAGCCAGGGTAAAACCAGAGCATGACTCTCTCTTGGGACTTAACACCATCCAATGGGTCCCCATTGCTATTCAAATACAACCCAAACCTCCCATCCTGTAGCGCCCCACCCCAATTATATCTCACTCATGCCCTCTCAAGCCCTCTGTGATTCCTTTTTTTAAGCCTAGCTTTTTCCTGACTAGAACTATTGTGTTTTCATCTTCCTGGAAGTATCTGCCCTCCATTTCATAAAGCTGGCTCCTTTTCATCTCGTCTTTGAAGTATCACCTCAAAATCCTCTCCTGACAGAGCCCTTCCCTGACCACCAAGTCAACCCTCGACTACCTGCTGCACTCTTGGTCACGTTACTCTTTTATTGTCTACATGTCACTTATCATGTATTTTTGTTTTGTGTACTTTATTGTATACTGGTTGCATAAAGGCTGTCACTTCATTTGAATTGTTCCACAGTATGGGGCGCCTGGATGGCTCAGTTGGTTAAGTGACTGCCTTTGGCTCAGGTCATGATCCCAGGGTCCTGGATCGAGCGCCGCATCAGGCTCCCTGCTCCTCGGGAAGTCTGCTTCTCCCTCTGCCTGCCGCTCCCCCTGCTTGTACTCTCTCTCTGTTGACATAAATAAAATCTTTAAAAAAAAAAAAATTCGTTCCATAATACATAAGAAGTCGTTAATATTTGTGGAATGAATGAACTAATTGAACTGATAGTGTTTCCATAAAATTAGTAAAACAAATAAGTAAATAACCAAAAAGCACTCTGAACTATGTTGCCAATGTCTGTAGTTGGCACTAGTAAATGAACACCTTTCAGTAGCTCCCAGTTGGCTGAAGAAGACAATAGGCAATTGTAATCCAGTGCGATAAATGCTAATGAGGACCTAAATATAGGGTCCTCTAGGATCACAAAAGAGAGGAACCTAATCTTGTCTTAGAGGATCCCATAAGGAATCGTGAGCAAAGTTAAATCTGAGGGATGAGTGAAGAAAAATGGGGGGAGAGGGGGTGGAAGCGATGTGGTAAATGTCTACATAGAAGGAACAGCAGGAGCAAAACGCTGTGGCAAAAGATGGGAACCTGAGACATTTTAAGTACTTCTCTGTTCCTGGAACATCCTCCCAAGGTAACTGTAGGGTACGATGACATAATAATGTATCCGAACGTATTATGAATGGTGGCTTGCCATATAAGTTTTGATTAATAAGCTCAGACTTGTACCTAATGATCACTTATTACCCGATAGTTTCTGGTATTCAAAGAAAAAGGAAAGCATTTCAGAGAAGGACTTCGAGTGAAGGCTTCTGAAAGATCCTGGGACTTTATTCACACTCTACACTAATTGGGTAGTCTACAGTCTACGTTGGTGGAGAGTTGGCTGGGGGTGGGGGGGGTGTTGCCTTGACAACGGAGCTCACGGCCTGTCAAAGTGAAACGGCTGGACGATTGGCTGCGAAGGTTTCCAGAGGCCTGCCCCCCGTCGCTGATTGGATGAGGCGCAGCCAAGCTCCGCTACTTTCCCGCAGGGGGTCCTGTTGCTTGGCAACCGATTTGCGACCTCCAGCGAAGCGGGCACCTACTGACACCTGTGAAGCGCAGATTTCCCCGACTAACGACCGCCCTCCGCCGCCTCTGCTTCCCCCTCTCGCGCCCGCTTCACGCACGAACAACGCGAGCTGTCCCAGGTGCTCCTCCAAGTTTGCCTTGAGCCTGGGCTGTGAGCTGGCACCGCAGGGACACGCCGCAGTTGAGAACGTGCCCGTTTTCCTTCTGGAAGTCTCGGTTGGGAGGAGTCAGAGGAGAAAGAAAAGTCTGTTGTAAATCCAACTTAGAGGCACTTACCTTGGGAGGACAGAACGTTCTGGGGCTCTAGAAAACAAGTAGTTTACGTGAGTTTACTAGGTGTGGGAGAGTGACCCATAATCTCAGACACCTGTCTCAGAGTAAACGCTAGGCGTGTGGGGACAGGTGCCAGACCCTTTGCTGCTTTACCATGCACTGCAGAGCTTACTTCTTGCTGGAAAGAGACTTCCAAGAGTTGAAGGAGAACAATTTTAAGGTGAGTCCTGGGAACCTGGAGGGATGTGTTTCGTTGGGGTACGAATTTTTGAAGATTTTTTTTTTCATTCGAGACACAGAGATACAGAGAGAGAGAGAGAGAACATGAGCAGGGGGAGAAGCAGAGGGAGGGGGAGAAGCAGGCTCCCCGCTGAGGAGGGAGCCCCATGCGGGGCTCGATCCCAGGATCCTGGGATCATGACCTGAGCCCAAGGCAGACGCTTTTAAAAGCATTTCAATCCGTGTTTATTCTATAAGGCATAATTGAGTTAAACCTAATTTGCCACTACAGTGTTGTTATTTAAAGAATGGATTGCACCATAACAATCATCTTATAATACGAATTATTATGATTTCATAATAATAATAAAAACATGGAGCATATTGTGCTAATTTATGTGTGCTTAAGCCCTATCAGAGGGTGATGAGTAGGTGCAGGGTTGTGCTCCTTAATTACAACATTATTAAATAAGTAGTGTTTTGTTTTACCTACCAGAAACCGAAGCCCCAGAAAGGTTCAGTAAATATTTGGCCCCAGGCTTCCATCACAGGGTTTTCTGATTCCAAACCCCTCGCTCTTAAGTCTTAAGTTCTACTCCTCACTGTCTAGTGCACTTTTTGCCAAATGCTATTATATATATTACAGTGAGGTCCATAGGTGCCACAGGCTGATTTATCACTTATTCTATGGAGAATAAAAAATGGAAGGGAGGGGGAGGGAGTACTTAAGAGAAAGAACAGAAAGAAAGCTGCCTTAGAGGGAGGGCTCAAAGGGCTACCAATAGTTGCCTCAGGTGTAGTTCAATGGCATTGTTCTGCCCCCCCCCCCGGCCTCCATGCCGTGCTATAGAAGTATTGTCTTCACTGGAGATGTTAGGACAATTATTGAGTCCAACAACAATCCCAGACATACCAATCTAACATCTGATGTTGTTTGTTTCTGTTCTACCTGAACTTTGTGGTTCTCTGGTAAAAGAGAAGTTGATGAAGAAAGAAGTGATATGTAACTACAAATAATGTAGATAATAGAGATATAATGTTTATCCAGACTAGCATGTAACATACTTAATAACTATGTGGTTGCTCAGAAATATTTGTTCACTATATTTAAGTGTATCCCTCAGCATAAAGGATAAACTTTTCCATGAAATACATTTCTTGTCCCTCCATTGGGACAGTACCTCAAGCGTAGGAAAACTTTATTTTTATATACAAGCATTATGTTGGAGTTGTGTTTTTCTTAATGAAAATTTTCTACTCCATGCCCTCCATATAGCATCCATATAGTTTTTTAAAGCTTGGAAGAAATGCATCTTTCCAACTATTTCCATCTTTTCTATTTGGAATCTTAAATTGACCTACTGATTTATATAAGCCACATCTCAAGCTTGACTTTGTAGTCCCACTTGTGATTTCCATGCTTATGATTTATTTTAAATTTACTATTGTGTGTGTTTCTTGGAATCTACCTTAACTTCTGTGTAATAAGACAGTATATAATATATAACATCTCCCCAAATCAACAAATAAATAAATTTATCAGGAAAAGAAAATGAGTTTTTGGAATTCACTGTAACTTGACATCTGATTTTCAAAGCTGTGATATTAAATCTTTTCTTCTGCTTTGATTTTTTTTTTTTTTAATTAAGGGTATTACTGCCTTTCCTGTAAGTAAAGATCTAATGGAATGGGGAGCCGATATTGAAGGTCTACAAAATACATTTTGGCATGGTTTGTGTTTTCAAAACCAATTTACTTTTTTAAAGTCTTTATACCATTATTAGCCTATCTTCTTTACATGTATAATAAGGTTACAGTATATAAATTTTCTAGAATTCTAAAGGTATTCACATGTTATTTTTTTCATCATGTGGCTTAATTTCTTGCCATTTGTTAATGTAGATGGAAATTTTAGATTTGAATTTTTCCTTATGCCAAATTTTAATGTTATTATACTTTTAAGAAGCAGACACAATAAAGCATATCAATTGGGAATATCATGTAAGTCTTCCATTAAATCAGAGAATAACTATCAAAATTCCTACTTGCATAAAAATCCCACAATTATCTCTCATTTTTTTCCTTCGTGATTTTTCCCAAAATTTTTATAAATCAAATTCTTGAGAAGACTGGGCCACTATAATCTTTAATGGCCATGCACTCTTTCTTTATGGATTAACAAAATAGAGTTGTTGGGTGCCTGGGTGGCTCAGTTGGTTAAGCGACTGCCTTCGGCTCAGGTCATGATCCTGGAGTCCTGGGATCGAGTCCTGCATCGGGCTCCCTGCTCGGCGGAGAGTCTGCTTCTCCTTCTCACCCTCCTCCCTCTCATGCTCTCTGTCTCTCATTCTCCCTCTCAAATAAATAAATAAAATCTTTAAAAAAAAAATAGAGTTGTCAAGGGAAGTAAGGGAGAAAAACGTAAGTGGTTAATTATAATAAAATCTAATATGTGCTATTAATGGATCTTGAATGGAATGCTGAGAAGACAGTGATTAGTTACTTTTGTCTTAGAAGGTCAGGAATGGCTGGCTTCTCAAGGAAGTGACGTTTGAGTTGAATCCTGAGGAATGGGTAAGAGTTTGTTAGGTTTGGAAGGAGGGGAAGGAAATTCAGTCTGAGTAAACAGCATGGCAAAAGCTTGTAAACAAGAGACAGTTCTAAAACAGTGAGGTCAGTAAATATGAGCAATACAGTGTAAGGGGCAGGTGTTAGGGGATGGAGTTAATGGATGGAAAGGACTCAACGCGGTGAGAAACAGGCTGAAAACACAGTGGAATTAGATTGTGAGGAGTCTATTAGACTATCTAGAGGACTCTCTGTACCGTATGATCCAATTTATTTATAAAACTCTAGGGACCTCGAGGAGGCTAAGCTAAAGAGAAACTTCAGGTTTCATTTCATCAATACAACATGACACTTAAGTAAAAATGTTTGTTTCTTTATCATAGGATTATTCGTCCAACTGAAAATAAACTTTATATCACAATACAATTTTGTCCCTCCAGTTGTGAAATTCCTGACAATTCCTTTTCATCCAAATGGTAAGCACCAAATGCGATTTTTATCACTGGGGCTCTGTCACTATTATCCTTGTTCCTTGTACGTGTTTGATAATGTTTCTAAAAACTTTGTTATGGTTATATTTAGTAAGCATGCTTATTGGGGAAAATACAAAAAGGCAGAAAAAAATTATCACTTTGAATCCTAATTCAGAGAGCTATTCCTCTCAATATTTAAACAAATTTATTTCCTTTTTACTATGTATGTATTCTACATAGTTGAAGTATTACATATGAAGTTTATAAAATGATGTTTATTATTTCTGGATTCTTAAACATTCTTCAAAAGGTCATTTTTAATGACTAAATGATAAACTTAACTATTCTTGTATTCAATATTCTCATTTGATCTGATTTTATCTTCATAAAAAATAATGGACTGACAAATTAACATTTTAGAAAGAAATGAGTTAGATTGCTAGTCAAGTTATATACAAAATGAATTCCTGATGTATCAAAAAGTCTAAAAGTTTTAAATACTAAAAAGAAAATCAGGGGCGCCTGGGTGGCTCAGTCGTTAAGCCTCTGCCTTCGGCTCAGGTCATGATCCCAGGGTCCTGGGATCGAGCCCTGCATCAGGCTCCCTCCTCGGAGGGAAGCCTGCTTCTCCCTCTCCCACTCCCCCTGCTTGTGTTCCCTCTTTCGCTCTCTCTCTCTGTCTGTCAAATAAATAAGTAAAATCTTAAAAAAAAAAAAATCAAATAGAATTTTTTTGTTGTTGTTTTTTGTTTTTTATTTATTTATTCATGAGAGTCAGAGAGAGAGAGAGAGGCAGAGGCAGAGGGAGAAGCAGGCCTCCCGCCTAGCAGGGAGCCCGATGCGATACTCGATCCCAGGACCCCGGGATCATGACCTGAGCCGAAGGCAGACGCTCAACCATCTGAGCCACCCAGGCGCCCCTCAAATAGAATTTTTAATCGCCTTGGTGAGGAAGGCTTTTCTAAATATAAAACCTAATCACTGTGAAAAAAGCATGACACATTAAACTACATAAACTTTTTAAAACTTCTCTACGGCCAACAATATTATAAACAGAGACAAAACACATTGACTTTTGCAAACCAAGCTACAATATTTGCAATGTGTAAAACAGAATATCTACAACATATATAGAACACTTAAGAATCAATAAGAAAAAAATAAAGCAATAGAAAAACAGGCAAAGGTTATAAACAAACACTTGATAGAAGACACATAACAAAAATAAACAAAAAGATGTTCAGCTTCACTAGTAAGAAAATAAATGCATATTAAAACAAAAATTTATGATTCATTGTTTATGTTTACAAAATGTTAAAAATTTATACAATTTTAGTAGGGGTGGGCAAACATGTGGGTGGGTGGGTTCTCTGATATAATGATGACCTCAGTGTGACCTTTTTAGGAAGCAGTTGACAGTTTCTAATCAGGTATAAGATGCAAATAGCCCTAAATCCCTGTAATACCGTGTTTATAAATTATTCCATAGAAATACTAGCACAAGTGTGGAAGAGTATGTATAATATTTAAATATGTTTGTTCCCAGTAACAATGTTGGAAATAGGGAAAAGGGAAATAATCCCAGTGTCTGTTAATATAGGAATTTTTAAGTAAAATATCTTACAGCTTTATACGTAACAAGGAAGATATATACACCTAGACTTTTTGGTCACTGCTATTCCTAGAATATTCCCTACCTGGCACATAGCTGGTGCTCAAATATTTTTTCATAAATATGTCCAAAAATATGTTGATGATTTACTGTTAAAAAAAGAAAAAAACCTTCAAAGAATAACACGTAAGATATAATTCCATTTAAACGATACACACAGTCACACACGTGTATGTGTATTTGTATAGACCAACTGGTAGATTTATTTTTTTGAAGATTTTATTTATTTATTTATTTATTTATTTATTTTGGAGAGAGCCCATGCATGCACATACACATAAACGGGGAGGGGCAGAGGGAGAGGTAAAGAACCTCTCAAGCAGACTCCACTCTGATCACGGAGCCTGGCATAGGGCTTGATCTCAAGACCCTGAAATCGTGACCTGAGCCGAAACCAAGAGTCAGATGCTTAACTGACTGAGCCACCCAGGTGTCCCTAGACCAACTGGTAATAACTCTGAAGAGGTGGTATTAGTAGTCAAGGGAGCTTTCATATTTTACTTTACATACTTTTATTTGTAAAATATGATTTATTTTATTTTTTTATCATGTTAATCATTATGTACTTTTTTTTATGTTATGTTAATCACCATGTGTTTCATCATTAGTTTTTGATGTAGTGTTCCATGATGTATTGTTTGTGTATAACACACAGTGCTCCATGCAATCACCGTGTAGTTTTATATAATTTTTTCCAAGTATATTATTACTTTGTAATTAAAACCTATTTTTAAGGTATAAAATTAAATCTATGGTACACAGTTCATTGTGTACAGTTGCTATTATTTGCTTAACATACACAGGAGTGGAATTACTGGTTAAATGTAGTGGGGGTCAGTGCTATCCCCTAGTCCTCACACCTTCCATTTCCACAGAGTACAGAGAACCTCTGTCTCTAGGAGGGAAAGTACAGAAAACTTGTGATTGCTCTTCTTTCCCTCCCTCACTCCTTGAGTGACGTACCTATTGAGGAAATAGGAGAAGAAAATTGAACATGTGTGGCTCAACACTTTCTTTCCAGCCAGTCTTCCCTTAGAATGGGTTCCCTATGGCTTTCTCCAGGCAGGAAACAGGCAGGCCTTCAGTTTGCGTGTTAAGTTCAAATCAGGGGGGCTTTTGTGGAGCTCGAGTAAAGCCATTGATCACATGCATTCTCCATTTCAGTCTTACCTACAATAAAGTTGATTTTTTAACTTCCATCTTTCAACACTTAGGTCTATTTCATTATATATGAGCTTGGGAGGAGGGGAGTAGTATTTATTAGCCTCCAAACTCCAAGGGATGGCTCTATAGGGTCCTAAGTGTTCAGATACATAAAGCCAAGTTGCCTTTTGGGATGTTATTTACACTTCCACCCATAACTGTGTATAAAGTCATTTTAGCACTTTCCATATCTGGGCGTTGACACTTCAGAGACATTTTTTGCCAATTTGATAAGAATGTCACTGTTATTTTAATAAGCACTTCTTTGAATACTTGTGAGTTAAACATTTTTTCATGTCTGTTGATTGTATTTCTTATTTTGTGAACCATCAGACTTAACGGTGTTTTACATTGTCTTAGATACTGCAAATATTTCCCTTTGTCACTAATTTTTAAAATTTTGCTTATGCTGGTTTTTTTATATCTGGGGTTTAAAAATTTATTTTTAAATTTCAAATCTATTAGTGTCATCCTTTGAGATTTTTGCAGGTACCTTTAAACTTAGATGATCTCTTCCCCAAATACAATCAAATCATCATTTTAATGTTCTTTTAGTTATTCCGTAATCTTATTTTTCATATTTAACTCCATTCTTTTTTTTTTAATGCTGATTTAATTAATTGGTTAGGGCATAGGCCAAGCTTCTCTATATCTTTCCAATCTGTGTATGACAACACAAAGCTGACAGGGAGGTTTTGCCATCCTCAACGTGCGGTTATCATTTCTGGATGTAAGACTTTTACTCTGACCATTTCCAGCCAGTGGGAAGGGGAAAAGGAAAAGAGGGCAAAACAGCTCCCATCAGGAAGTATGATCTAGAAGTTGCGCACTTTCCTTCTGCTGATATCCCACAATTACAACTTAGTTACATGGCCACAGCTTGCTGGAGGAAAGGCTGGGGAAAATGTGGGCAACCATGTATTTATCTAAAACCACACAGAGGGATGGAGATGGGGGGCAGGCATAGTGCTCCTTATTCCAGAAGAGATGGAAGAAAGGAAGTGCAAATACCAAAGGACAATCAGTAATTTGCACAGCACTTATTAATGCCATTTGTTGATAATCCTCTTTTGCTGCTGAATCATAATTGCACTTTTAACATACAACAGTTTTAATACATACTAGGTTTTGTTTCTAAAGGCTCTTATCACATTGTTTAATCTCATGTCCCACTCTGCAGTTCTAATTATTGTAGTTTTACAGTACAATGTCAAATCCAACACCCATCTTTTCACCTTTTCAAAATTTTCTTTTCAGTTCTTAACTTTTTATTGCAAGATTCTTCTGTTAGAGTAGAAATGTTTCTCTTAGTCATTTACAAATTTTTTTTTATATATTAATAAGACTATTGTTAATAATGTTGTCTATCATTTGGGGGGGATTTGCCACATGTCAGGTACTCTATTAAGTACTTTATTTTTTAGTTCTTTTCAGTGAAGGAAGGTACTTTCATGATATCCCCATTTCACGTGTTAGGAAAGTGAGACCTAGAGAGATAAAGTTAAATTGCTCAACAGGTGGGGGAGTCAACATTCAGATCTACGTGTGTCTGACACTAAAGCCCTTGCTTTTAACAGCTATACTACATCAGCTGTCGGTCACATTCATTGAAAATACTTTTCTGCTTTGTCTTTTGCTTTCTGATTTTGCCTATGATATTTTAAATAATAATTGTATCCTATGTGTGAATATTCATGTATTATTTTAATACAGTAGACCAAAATACTGGTCGGGCTTGTATAGATATTTTGGATGACCCTGATAAGTGGAATACAAGCTATACCTTGAGCAGCGTCTTACTTACCCTCCAGGTAAGGACAGGTTAATATAATGCTCTCTTTAATACTTTCAACTGTCCCAGTTATTCAGAATATATGGAAGAAGATGTACAATGAATATTTAAATGTGTGAAGGATTTGAGTAAACTTATTTAAATCAATAGCATTTTTACACCAAGGCTATAAAGTGGAACTTATTATTTTAAAGTGAAACTGCTAGTTACTGCCCTTTACAATGAAAGAATATATGTTTTGTTTAAAAAAGAACTGGATGGTTTCAATTCTAGAAATATAGTCTCAAGTTTTCTTTTGGCTTCTAACTTTACTTCATAATATTGGATATGATCTTTCCTCATTCATGAATCTTGTCTTCCTTAGAAAGGTGAACCAAATGACTACAACTTAAAATGTTCAGCTTTATCCTTTGTTTCTGACAGTGCTAACTACTTGCTCTTTTATAAACTTTCATATCAAATCCAGTGAACAATTAAAGCAGGGATTTTTTTCCTCCCCTCAGATTGTTGCCTGTTTCTGGAATGCCCCTTTGCCCCCTGGATTCATGGTCCTTAGGAGCATGCCTCAGTGTTCTGTTATTTCTGACTCTCAAAAAACCTCTTTTCTCATGTGGTGCTAAAATAAATTATTTCAATGGCACTTGGTTTGACCACCTGTAATCTGACTTAGTGACTTTCCCATGGACCTACTCAGCATTAATAGTATCTGAAGATAAACTATTAAATTTTGATTATTTGGAATACTTACAGAAATGTAGTATTCTGGCTTAATTGAATTCTCTCAATCACATAGAATTATAATACAAATCCCATTTCTTATTTTTGAAAAAAATTTTCTGTCTAGTCATCTTAGTATACTGAGAAAAGCAATCTTTCTTAGAGATTAAATGTCCAAACTTATCCATTCATTCATTCTACAAATATGTATTGAGCACCTACCTGTGCTAAGCCATGTTTGGGGAGAGACATTCGAACAAAAACTATAAAGAACTAAGTGAGCATGATCTGCAAATATCTGGGGTTGATCTTTTTGATTCCTTCAAACTGAGTCATAGTCCTGTCTCTTCTACCTGAATTAGGATCTGCCTAATAGTAAAACTGAGGGGCGCCTGGGTGGCTCAGTCAGTAAGCATCTGACTCTTGATTTTGGCTTAGATCATGATCTCAGTGTGGTGAGATGGAGCCCCACGTCAGGCTCTGTGCTCAGCAGGGAGTTTCCTTGAGATTCTCTCTCCCCTCTCCCTCTGCGCCCCTACCCCTGCACAAGCATGTGCTCTCTCAAATAAATAAATCTTTAAATAAAAAAGAATAATAAAACTGAATGTTTTGAGGCTCAGCGGGGAGTCTGCTTGGAATTTTCTCTCTCCTTCTCCCGCTGCCCCTCCCCGCCGAATTAATACAACTTATCCAGAGCACGCTCTCTCTCTCTCAAATTAAAAAAAAGAGAGATAGTAGAAAGAAAAAGAAAATCAATGATAGTCATAAAGAAAAACCTTAACCCTACTGTGATTAGCATTTCCCTCTAATGTTTTCTCCCATGTTTTTGTTTAAAATCTTTCAGTTGCCCTATTCACTGCAGGGTTAGCCTCAGTTCTCTTGCCTGACAAACGATCTCCTTGTCCTCACACCTGGGCTTCAGACTCTCCCTAACAGCACCATGCAGCCCCACTCCTATTGTATTTTCATGCTTTTCTCCCTCACAGTGCTTGGTTCAATTTATGTTAAAAAAACATTTATAGAGTTCTCAATTCTAAAGTTACAAACCCAAGCAAGTCTTGAACCTTAAAAAGCGCTCAGTCTAGTTTCTGACTGGCAACCCATTTTCTCCTTCTCTCTTGCTTCTCTCTTGCTCAGTCTGGGAAGAAGCTGCATACATTGGAAGAGTCAGGGCCAATGAGTCCTCCACTGGGATGCCTTTCCTGACTTTCTTTCAGAGGTAGAATTGATGGCTTTGGTGTTTGAGGGGTTTCTTTTGTCTCCCACCCACTGAGTGGTACTCCAGGCAGATTTCTATCAGAGGCCTGTAATACTGTAATGCACATACTGTTTTCTTATATGTCTTCCCCTGTTGGACTACAGGTTCCTCGAGGTCAGGGAACAGGTCCAATTCATCTCTGATTCCCCAGTACCCACCTAGGACAATGCTGACAGGAGATGCCTAAGTAACACAAATGAAAGAATGAACCTGAATTTTTTACATCGTTCCAAATATGGTTTATATGTACAAATTATTTGACCTGTTTATTTTTCACTTACCATTTTATCTCAAGTAATTTTCATATTGCTGCAGTTAATATTTTAATGGCTATTTAGTAGTTCTTTCAAGATCAATGCTGCTTGGTAGAACTTTCTGCACTGATGAAAATGTCCAATATCTGCACTGTCCAATATAGTAGGCACTAGCCATGTGGCTACTGTGCATTTGAAATGTGGCTAGTGTAACTGAGGAGAACTGGGTTTTTAATGTATTTTAATTTCAGTTTAAATATCCACATATGGCTGGTACCTACTGTAATGGACAGTAAACGGATAGACCATAATTTCTGAATATTTCCCTTTGAACAATAGATGAGACATATGTATAGTTATCACATTGTTATTCAAGGGAGTGCCATTTGAAATGGTGTTTAAAATATTTTAAAGTCTAAATATACTAATCATCTAAAATTTTTATAATCTTACAAAAGATTATAAGAACACTTGTACTTCAATATATAACAAAGGTAAATAGCAACACCCATCCATAGAAGAAATTCCAAATTCATGGGCTTTAACTAATTGGAAATTATAAATTCTACCTACTGTTGTAGTTTTTTACTGATGCTCCAGTTTTTTGTACTTATCCTCTGGAAAGCTGCTTATGTTGTTCCACACTATCACATGGCTAATTTAAAAGTTGGACCTTGGGACGCCTGGGGGGGGGCGCTCAGTCGTTAAGCTTCTACCTTCAGCTCAGGTCATGATCCCAGAGTCCTGGGATCAAGTCCTACATTGGGCTCTTTGCTCAGTGTGGAGCCTGCTTCTCCCTCTGCTCCTCCCCCCACTCCTGCGCACACGTGCGTGCACACTCTCTCTCTGATGAAGTCTATAAAAAAATAAAAGTTGGACCTTTTCCTTTTGCTATTTTATCAGGGTGTCTGATTCATACATTTCAATATATTCTAGTTCTTAAAAATCATTAAGTATACTTAGTAGCTTGTGTACACATAATATGAAAAGGTCTTAGGCATAGTGTCAATGCAAAGACTATTGAATAAACTTCACCAGATGTGCCTCTCTGAGTAGGATTATCACTCCAGCCAAAGACCAAAAGCTTACTCTTGAAGATAAGTTTCATCTGCTTCCTACCCACTTTGAAAGGTATAATGCCATCCACACTGAATCCTTATTTAAGCAACTTAGAATATCCTTGGAGATATGTTCAAATGTGTTTTCCAAACAGAAAAACTCAAATAACAGCAATAAATTCTTACTGCCTTTGAAATATCAGATGTGAGATTATTGCTTCCGTTAGTGATGACTGCCATCATTTCCAAGACACTTAAGTCAGTTAGCCACTTTGAACTACATCTACACTTAGTATTCTGGTAGTTATTATTTTGGCTATATTTTATTATCTAATTTGCATGTTATACTATTCAAAATACTGAAATTATTGAATATTTGCAATTTGGGAAAATAATAATTTTGAGGTACAAGATAAACAAGATCATGGTCTAGCAGAACTATTAAGTTTTGGTTACTGCTGGCCCCCTATTTTGTCCAGATGCACATATACTATAGCAGGCAGAATTTTATTTTATTTTTAATATTTATTAGAGAGAGAGAGAGAAAGCGTGCGCGCATGCGCGTGCGCATGCATGAGGAATGGGAGGGGCAGAAGCAGATTCCCTGCTGGGCAGGGAGACCGATGCAGGGCTCCATCCCAGGACCCCAGGATCATGACCCGAGCCAAAGGCAGATGCTTAACAGACTGAGCCCCACCCAGGTGGTAGGCAGAATTTTAAAGATATCCCTCCAGGGCTCCCATCCTCTGGTTATTTAATCTAATCTACATACTGCTGTAAAAGGGCTTTGCAAATGGAATTACAGTTACTAATCGGCTTACCTTAAAATGGGAAAGTTATCCAGAATTATACAGGTGTACAAAGTAATTATTATAACCCCTTAACAATAGAAGAGGAAGGCACAAGTGTTGCTCAGAGAAATAGAGTGGAAGGAGAATGGATGTGGCAGGAAGGAACATCAGAGAGATTCCAAGCATAAGAAGGATTTTTCATACTTTAACTGCTCTGAGATGTAGGGGTCCAGATGTAATTTGCAAGAGATCTCTTGGAGCTAAGGATGGCCCCAAGCTAACAGCCAGCAAAGAAACAGTGACCTCAGTCCTACGAATGCAAGGGACTGAATTCAACTAACAACCTGAATGAGGTTGGAAACATTCTTTGAGAACCTCTGATAAGAGCCCAACCAGCCGACACTGATTTTAGTCTTCCTAAATGTGGAAAAGAGAAACCAAAATGACCACCTAAGACTAGCCACCTACAGAAATGTGAGATAATAAATTTGTATTTTTTTAAAGATTTTTAAAATTTTATTATGTTAATCACCGTACATTACATCATTAGTTTTTGATGTAGTGTTCCATGATTCATTGTTTGCGTATAACACCCAGTGCTCCATTAAAGATTTTATTTATTTATTTGACAGAGAAAGACACGGCAAGAGAGGGAACACAAGCAGGGGGAGTGGGAGAAGGAGAAGCAGGCTTCTTGCTGAGCAGGGAGCCCGATGCGGGGCTCGATCCCAGGACCTTGGGATCATGACCTGAGCCAAAGGCAGATGCTTAATGACTGAGCCACCCAGGTGCCCCAAGTCTGTATTGTTTTAAGCTGCTAAATTTGTGCTAATTTGTCACAGCAGCAATAGAAAACTATAGACACCAAATTCATTCAATGATCTGGAGGGATGTTGAAGTATACACAGTATACACAGCCTTATTACATACATTTGTTTATCCATGATCTAAATATGATCTTAACGTTAAAAATTAAACTTATTTTTTAATGGAAATGTTTCAGTGTTTCCTAATGTTTAGTTTCCTTTATATGTAAACTGAATTTAAATTCATGTGATAGAAAGGAATAGGCTAGAGGAAGGAACTTGTAACTTGTTTTGATCCCAATGTTTGGCTCATGAACGTACAGGATAACATCAAGATAGACCAAGAGTTTCTTGAGACGGACTATGTCCCATTTGTCTTTGTATCTGTCTCCAGATGGATACATAGTCGCCATGTAATAAATGCTTGTTACTGTTGTATGTGTTGGCTTGTCTTTTTGCTCTAGCAAAAAAGTTACTTTAAAAACTTTAATTTTTATATTTTTTTCCTATAGGTTATGCTTTCTAATCCAGTGCTAGAAAATCCAGTGAATTTGGAAGCAGCCCAAATGCTGATTAAAGATGAATCTCTGTACAAACAAGAAGTTCTAAGACTTTTCAACCAACCAACACAATGTAAGAAGTACCTATTTATTGTTTTTTTGCCAATTATTAATTATGCATTTATAGCAAATGATCCAGTGAATAAGTGTTATATAAGCGAATATTTTCTGTATCCATTCTCAGGAATGAAATCATACTAAGATTTCTCCTATTGTACCTCTTTGTCAAGCCAGTCAGTTATCAAAAAGTCAGTCAAAAAGTGGTTTTTCTTTAAAGATTATCAGTGATCATTAGTTTAGTATTTTTTAAATGTTATGGTCATATGGATGGTGGTACTGACTGAAACTTATTTACCCATCATAAAGATATGACATCTGATTTTAACTCTTTGATCTATAATGGATATTTCCCAGATTTGACCTGCAGTACCCCAGATCTTACTGAACTGGGATTCCTTTCCTCTTGATTAGCAAAATGTTCAGCTTTTTGTTCTGAAGAGTTCACCCCCAAGATATTCCTTCTAAGAGTCCATGTGGAAATGACATCTGAGGCTCTTCAATCTTTCTGCTCTATTGACCAGTGGTTTTTGTTTTTGTTTTTTTTTCTTTTGATACCCTTGTTTTGCTCTCTTTTATCCTGCCGGGGACCTCTTCATGACTTAGCCCAGTCTCTCTACTGCTCCTGTGTTCTCTCTGCAATTAGCAGAATAATGCAATTGGCTCCTTATGCCCAGAGGGGTTCATCACAAGTGGGGGTTGGGGCCCTAAGTGCGCATAGTTCTTTCCTCTCTATCTGGCCCCTCTTTTCTCCAGCCATGCACAGCAGCCAGCTAGAGTAACTGCTGTCATTACCTCCCTAACAGCAAGCCTTGCTGTTCAGACTCGTTCTGCCAAACTGATCTCTCATGTGCTTTTTCTTTCAGATGTCTCCTGTTTCTTTTTCCAGTCCCCTTCCAGGGCCTGCCAGTCCATTAGCTAGGTGTGTACAATTGTGACCAAGTTCAAGTGCTCCTCCACGGGCTTTGGGTCTGGTGCAAATCAAGCAGTGTTGATTAGGCATCCTTTTAGGTATCTTCAAACATGTCATGATTGTTGTGGAGTCCCTCAAACATTCCCTGACAGTTTTAAAGCTGGTTTGTGCACAGAGGGGTCCTATTGCTTCATTCTGACCACATTTCTGATCTCCCAGAATATTGTAGCATCCACTACTGTGTCCTCTGTGCTCAGTTACTATTTGTAGAATGAATGAATGAACAATTTATATCACTTAACTCTTCATTGAGCCCTGCAGTACTATCATTATAAAGAAATATTCTATAACAAAGCTATATCCATAGTCTGGTAAATGGAAATTTAAAAACTGGTTTTAAAGTATTGTCTACAGTAAATGATTCTGTGCAATAGATTTTGGGTTTAGCCTGCCAAAAAGGCTGAGGATGAGAAAGAAACTGAAGAGAAGTCAGCCCTTCCTTTTGTCCCCCTGCCTAGTAGATGCCATCCTTCGCTCCTTTCAGTTCTCCAGCTGTACTATCAAGTCAGACAGAAAAGCTGCCCCAGTTGCCAAATATGTTCTTTTGTTCACTATGTTCTTTAGTTACATTGGTGAAATACGTGGAAATCCAAGACAGTAAATAGTTACCAGCCTGCTTTCTATCTCAGCCAGACCAGGAGTGGTAGTCTCGGGTGCCATGAAGAGAGTGACTTCCTGCAGCTTCCAAGGGAAAGAGTGTCCATGATACAGCAGACACAGCTGCTAAGGGGGTGGGGGAGAAGTTGCAGAAAACTTGTGCACTCTCAATTAGATGGTAGTCTACAACTATGTGGATTTCTGTGAAAAACTGCATCCAGTGAGAATTAATTACTTGTAACAACTTGAAAAAAGATCTCACTAGAATGCTGCAAGAATCATCTTTCATATAATTTAAAATGTTAATAAAGAGATCTAGAAAAAGCATAAAGGGAATTACCACATTTTTAGGTAACACAAAATTGGAACAGATAGTTAATTGTATAAATGAGAAACTCAAGAGGCAGAGAACTATATCATCTCTGTAAGCATTGATTATAGGCCAGAACTATATCCTCAGTAGCCAGTGTAGTATCTGGTTGTAGGTATTGAATAAAAATTTGTAGAATGAACAAATGAAAAAATACATGTGAGCTTAGATCCTGATTTTACTTCATAGTTTACACAATGCTTTCACATACATTTATTCATCTGATCCTCAGCCTCTCCCTCAGTAGGAAGCCGAGGATCAGTAGTAAATGGTTGGCTCAAAGCCACAGAGAGCAAGCTGCAGAACCAGGGCATCAACCTAGGCATTCCCCTCCCCTGTGCCTCCAAATTTAATGGGATGAGCATAAAGTCATTCATTTGGGATCAAAGGATTAAAATTTCCAAGTAAAGAATGGAAGAGGCCTGACTTGATAGCAGAACTCTATGAAAAAGTTCTTGCGGAGCTATTTGATCACAAAGTTAATGTGAACCACTAATGAAAAGTGCCCTTGCACTAAGCATGGGTTGTATGATAATTCTGCCCTACTCTGATGTGGTGGGCCCTCATCTGGAATACCAACATGCTTAATTTGGAGCATCACATTTCCTGAGCTGAAGAAACTGTGTATGTTTAGCTAGTGGGAGAAATGACAAAAGGCAGTTGTAAAAGCTGTTTTCAAATATTTGAAGGACTTTCATATAGAAAAGGGCAATTTCTTCTCTGTTGTTTCAAAAAACTGAAGTAGCTACAGTCAGCTCTACCTTCTCTAGGCCTACTAGGTTGTAGCCACTATAGTCCGGAATCTGCAGGCTTGGCCCTGCCTTGTGCTGGAACATACCTTGACTATATGGGGGTCTTTTCCCTCATCATCAGTGGTCTGGAATTAATTTTGTTATCCTAAGCCTGAGTCTGGTATTTGGTATGCAGACATGCAAATGCCTCTCATTCCCCAAACTTTCCATAACGTGTTGTTTGCCTAGCCTGAGCAGCTAGGTCACGGCCTTGCTGTTTTGACAAGAATACGCCAAGCTCTGAGCTCAAACCCGGCTGGTGGAGGTCCTGATGACCTTCCCAAATCCTGCCGTTCTCTTTTGGGCCTGGACCCTGTCTCCCTTACTGATAGTTAGGGTGCTCACATATACCAGACTGTCTGGGACAGTCCTGGTATAATGATTTCTAGCACCCCCTTTGACTCTGTGCTCCAGTTTGCACACCAAATTACAAAGTCAGTTGGGTGCCTGACTGATCTGTCCTACAAGCAAATGCCACGGTGGTTACACCATCCCTGGTGGTAATGCCCGCCCATCCAGGTCCCAGCTGGCCAAATAGGGGGAAGAATTTTCTAAAAACCCAAGTTGCTTAAGAATGGAGAAGGCTATTGTTTGGGCGCCTGGATGGCTCAGTTGGTTAAGCGTCTGCCTTTGGCTCGGGTCATGATCCCAAGGTTCTGGGATCGAGCCCCGTGTCAGTCTCCCTGCTCTGCAGGGAGCCTGCTTCTCCCTCTCCCTCTGCCTACCACTCCCTCTGCTTGTGCTTGCTCTCTCTGTCAAATAAATGAATAAATTAAAATAAAAAAATAAAAAGAATGGAGAAGGCTACCTTGGCTGGTAGTATCACTAACAGCCTGCTTTGAGAACTGTGATCAGTTAGTTGGGTTTAAGAGCTCTTTTTCACAGATGTTGTGAGAGAGCTTCTTGTTCAGTGTCAGGATTGGGCTAGGGGATTTTTCAAGTACCTTCCAACTTAGGCTTCAGCTTGTTTATGAACGCTTGGAAGAAGGAGGAGAAAAGATCTGGAAGGAGATAATGCATAACAACTGTCTTGCATCCCAGCTTCTGAGTATTGCTACTTATTTTCTAATGTGTCCCAAGGGATTTTATATAAGCCTGTATGTCCTTTTTTACCCCAGTCTGAGTGAATTTTTATTTCTATGTGGTTATATCATCAAATAATATTTATTCTGTTCATCATGTTTTTTTCAAGCATAAGGTTCGTACAATCTTTTTTTTTAATTTAATTTTATTATGTTATGTTAGTCACCATGCAATACATCATTAGTTTTTGATGTAGTGATCCATGATTCACTGTTTTCGTATAACACCCAGTGCTCCATGCAGTATGTGCCCTCCTTAATACCCATCACCAGGCTAACCCATCCCCCCACCCCCCTCCCCTCTAGAACCCTCAGTTTGTTTCTCAGAGTCCATAGTCTCTCATGGTTCATCTCTCCCTCCGATTTCCTCCCCCTTCATTTTTCCCTTCCTTCTCCTAATGTCCTCCATGCTATTCCTTATGTTCCACAAATAAGTGAAACCATATGATAATTGACTTTCTCTGCTTGACTTATTTCACTTAGCATAATCTCCTCCAGTCCCATCCATGTTGATGTAAAAGTTGGGTATTCATCCTTTCTGATGGCTGAGTAATATTCCATTGTATATATGGACCACATCTTCTTTATCCACTCATCTGTTGAAGGGCATCTCGGTCTTTCCACAGTTTGGCTATTGTGGACATTGCTGCTATGAACATTGGGGTGCATATGGCCCTTCTTTTCACTACATCTGTGTCTTTGGGGTAAATACCCAGGAGTGCAATTGCTGGGTCATAGGGTAGCTCCTTTTTTAATTTTTTGAGGCACCTCCACACTGTTTTCCAAAGTGGTTGTACCAACTTGCATTCCCAGCAACAGTGTAAGAGGGTTCCCCTTTCTCCTCAACCTCTCCAACATTTGTTGTTTCTTGCCTTGTCCATTTTTGCCATTCTAACTTGTGTAAGGTGGAATCTCAATGTGGTTTTGATTTGAATTTCCCTGATGCCTAATGATGATGAACATTTTTTCACGTGTCTGTTAGCCATTTGTATGTCTTCTTTGGAGAAGTGTCTGTTCATGTCTTCTGCCCATTTTTTGACTTGATTATTTATTTTTTGGGTGTTGAGTTTGAGAAGTTCTTTATAGATCTTGGATACCAGCCCTTTATCTATAGTGTCATTTGCAAATATCTTCTCCCATTCTGTGGGTTGCCTCTTTGGTTTGTTGACTGTTTCCTTTGCTGTGTGGAAACTTTTTATCTTG